GGTAGTTTTTCTCCTAGACAGAATTATTCCACATATAACTAACTACATGATAACTGCGAAAAGAGAAAATTGTTCTTAAAGAAGGGCAAAAGGACATAGGATACATTTCACAATTTTGCTTAAGTAAGCTTTGTCAGTTAATCATTTATTTGGTATTGAAGGAAAGAGTTTTAACATGGTAGTAGTAAGTAACTAGCTGAAAGAGTAGAAACAGGGCTGAGACTTTTTGGTTGGTTGTGGGGCTTGAACTTTGGGCCTGGGCACTGTCCCTCAGCTCTACAGCTCAAGGCAAGTGCCCTACCACTTGAGCCACAGCACCACTTCCAGTTTTCTGATGGTTAATTGGAGATAAAGAGTCTCATGGACTTTCCTGCCCGGGCTGGCTTTGAACCGTGATCCTCAGATCTCAGCCTCCTGAGTAGCTAGGATTCAGGCATGAGCCACCAACATCCGGCTAGGGCTGAGACTTTCACTAAACTCTTACACTTTCTGAACTTGGTACAGTGCAATGCATTATCTGTACAAAATTTTAAGTAATTTTTAAAACACCAAAGCCTCATAGCCTGTCACATGTCCTATTTCAGCTTTTAGATAATTTGTTTACAAGACTTGGCATTTAAAAGTTGATTTTCCCCCTAAAAATAAGCAGGATTCACTTGTAATATCGTATACTTTTCCAGTCTCATTTATTTGTTTTCAGAGTACTAAAGATATTAAAATACTCATAATCCTTAAGACACAGAATTATTAAACAATTGACACATATTTACTGATTTTCTATATTTGCAGTTTCCTTCAATAAAACAAATTTTCTAGACACAGGGCCTAGGTACTATAAACTTCTGGAGGTGCTGCTGAGGTGGTGGAATTTCATTAGAGTGCCTTCTTAAATTTGGTTCTTAGTTTTCTTCCAAAGAAAAATGTCATTAAAATAGCACAATATTTTGATTAAGAAAGAACTGCTCAAGATTTGTATAAAAACAAGCAAAAACAACAATAGTAACAATTCAGGAAAGAGAGCTAAAGTTATAAACCATCAACATCCAGAATAAAACTTTGGAACTCTGAAATCATGGAAACATCTGTTCAACAAAATATTTTGTTTTCCTGTTGTGTGCAAGAACTTTGGAGATAAAATGTGTACCAATGTAGACATGATTCCTGCCTTCACATAGTAGTGAGGGACACAGAAAGATAAACAGGCAATAAACAGAAAGATACCATATGGTATGAGAAATATCACTCTAAGAGGAAGTATTGAGAGTTAATGGAGCTCATGAAAAGAGAATCCTCCTGTGCTGGGAAAGCTAAGGTCTAAAATAATGGAAGGTGGGACTAGATCTTTGGAATTCTGGAAGCCTGAGTTCAAATCTGGGTATCACTGGAGCCATTTCACAACCTTGGCTAATGTATTAAACATCTCTAAGCCTCAGTGTCATCAGCTTTACGAAAGGAGTAATGTGTGTCTTGATCTCAAAGAGGTGATACGAACATTTATGAAATGCATATCACAAATCTGGCTGTTTGTGGCAAATGGCAAGTACCCAATAAATGTTAGCTCAGTGCAATTAATGACAAATTAGCTGAGAACTGAAATATGAATAGGACAGCCAGGTAAAAGGAAGAAAGGAGGAAGGAGTGAGGTCCCAGAAAAAGGAAAACCGTGTCCAGAAAAGCAATAATAATATGATGAGCCTGAAAGAAAGAACCTTGCATAAGCCAAGTGTTGACAGAGGCTTCAGTGGGGCCAGAGATTAAGTTCAAGCTGGAAAGGAAAATAGCCCAGCTCCATGAGCTTATCTAAGCTCAATGGGGTCCCTGCAAGAATTTTAGTCAGCAGAATCAGAGTTTTAAAATGGCCAAGTTGGCTACAGTGTGCGAATGAAATGGAGAGTGAAGAGAGGAAGCAGGGAAATTGATGATAATAATCTTAAAATAATTTTTTGGCTGCTGTGGACAAGAAAAGAATTAACGCAATCCAAAGAGGACCTTGAAGTTATAATCAGCTTGCCTGTTCAGCATTTCATTCATTTATTCATTCATCCATCCATCCATTCATTCATAAATATCAATACCTACAAAGTTCGAAATCTGATGCTGAGAGATTTCAAAATGCATTATCCAGCACAGCCCTGCTCTCTAGAAGCATTTTACCCAAAACAGATGGGTGGTATCCTTTCTGTGACTGAAAAGCCTCCTTATCCTGTGACCCAGATCATATGGAATAAGAAAAATGCTTTGAGGTGAGATCAGACAGAGACCCAAGCTGACGGCAGTGGCACATAACACTCTAGGATGAAACTCAAAGCATGAAAATATCTTGCCTTTATGCTGGGAAGCAGAACTGTCACTAACAACATTATGAACAGCCCATTTCTTATTCAAAGAGTCACTTTTTCCTGACCCATCATTGTTAAGTGAATAACAACAGTCAACATTCATAAGTGTTCTGACTATGAATTTCAGGAGGATCAATAAGTTTATTACCAGTCTGTGCAACAGATAGTCTTATGCAAAGCCAAAGATGACAAAACTGAGGCAAGGGACAATTTCCCTAAGGTCACAGAACTGAAGTGGTGGAGCTGATCCAAACTAAGAATCTTATCCAACAGAGGTAGGGAACATCTAGCCTGAGTACAATGTAAAGTCCAAGAAATAATTTGTATGTGACAAGAGAAATATGGATGATTCTCAGATTCTTTCTGTCAGTCTGCCTGTACCGATCCTATTGTATTATCCAATGATGTTATAAATATCCAAATGACCATTGGCAGAAAAAGGTTTCCTACCCCTGCTATATTATGTTGACCTCTGGGATTGGGGAAATAGCTTAGTGGTAGAATATTTGCCTCTCATGCACACGAGGTTCAATCTCCTGCATAATAAAAAAACAAAACTCCATCAGTAGGGCTGGGAAGGTGGCTTAGTGGTAAAGTGCTTGCCTTACATGCACAAAGCCCTAGGTTCAATTCCTCAGAACCACATAAACAGAAAAAGCCAGAAGTGGCATTGTAGTTCAAGTGATGAGTGCTAGCCTTGAGCAAAAGAAGTTTGGGAACAGTGACCAGCCCCTGAGTTCAAGCCCCAGACTAGCAAAAACAACAACATAACCCCACCACCAACAACAACAAAAAAACCCACCTGAGCCAGTGGCTCACACCTATAATCCTAGTTTCTCAGGAGACTAAGATCTGAGGATTGTGGTTCAAAACCAGGCCCGGCAGAAAAGTCCACAAGATTCTTTTCTCCGAGAAACTACCATCCAAAATGTCTGAAGTGGAGCTCTGGTTCAAGTGATAGAGTGAAAGCCTCAAGCAAAAAGCTCAAGGACAGTGCCCAGGCCCTGAGTTCAAGCCACAGGACCAATGTGCCTATATCTGTGTGTGTGTGTGTGTGTGTGTGTGAGTGTGTGTGTGTGTGAGAGAGAGAGAGAAAGAGAGAGAGAGAGGAGAGAGAGAGAGAGAGAGAAACTGCTTAGCAATGGAAGAGAGACACACAAAAAAAGAAACAGCTTAGCAATGGGTTGATCCTAGTATAAAGCCACATTTTGATATTTCAAACGTAGACTGAAGTACAGGCACATCACTGCTCCATCTTATAACAGGAAGACCAATATTTAGAAGCTTTTATTATAGGGATAAAATCAAATGAATGAATAAGTGAGTGAGAGTCTCAAGTGGGCACTGAACTACTCTTTTCTAATGAGCACCATTTTGAAAGGGTTTGAAACCCATTTTTACTGTTTTCAGTGAAAACCACTGCTCTACCATATGGCCTAGAACACAATGAAGACATTCCTTATCAGGTTAAAGTAAGAGGAGGGTGTTTCACACACTCAAAGATAGAAAAGGGTGACGAGAAATAAAAGGGCTAAGAGGATGAGACCTCTTACTCTTCTGATTTCCTGCTTACATAGCTGATAATCTCAGAAACAAATGGAAGATGCTTCTTTTGGGATCCTGTAGGGTTCCACCATCCAAGCAGTAAAGACAAGCATATTTTACTTAGCTCTATGAGACACTTCCTGTGTGAACTGAATAGACAAACAACAATAACAACAACCCACACCCCTTAACCTCTAGATATGAAAGAGACCACCTCCACCTTGAAATGCTATAGGACCCCAGCATTAGTAAGAAGAATCCTGAGCCAGGTGACATTTTGAAATCCGACTTTACTCTTATTTGTCTCTCCCCCACTAACCTACATTATGTTTAAAACAATCATAGCCATTTGCACCAGCTGCAATATCTTAAAGTAGTCACTATCCACTGAGAACACACCCCCCCTTCTCCATTACTGGAAGTTAAAAATATAGAATATAAATTATGGAACTTGGTAAACCACCATTTATAATTAAATTCACACACAAAACAGCTGAGCATGTGCGAGAGAGAGCGAGCGAGTGTGTACAGCTTTTGTAATCCAGCTCTTTCACACACACTTTTCACACAGCTCATCAACAAAACAGTCTGCTTAAATTCATTCTTCAGGACTCACTGAAAACTAACTCTGGACGCCCAGGTCTGTTGGCACCAACGCCATGTTATGTCATCCTCCTGTCCAGCATAGAGCACCTGGGAGGACTGGGGGGAGGGGGGAGGTCATGGTCACCGGCTGGCGCTGACCCCTGCAGGGGGCCCTGAACTCCACCCTCCCACCTGAGGGGCACCCCCCCCGTCGGCCCCCACTCCTCAGGAGACACGCAGAGTGGCATGGTCTTCGCCATTTAATTGCTACAAATGGAAAAAAAACGCTCCCGAGATGGATTCCCCGACCCATCCACCTGCCCGAGGGGGCAGGTTCACACTTGCGAGGATCTTGCGCCCCCCTCCCCTCCCGTGGGCGCTCACACCGTGCACACGCCCTCCCGGCTCTCCACGGGAAGTTGTGAACTAGCTGCCCCCCACCCTCCGGGGCCCCGGCCAGTCGGCCGCCCGCGGGGGGGCGCAGGGGAGGGCGGCGCCCCTGGCGTGGCGGGGCCCCCGGCGGGCACTCACCTCCTTCCTCCGGCTGGGCGCCCCGGGCCGGGTGAGGAGGGCCGTCTCCTCGCACACCACGGCCACGTCCTCCACGAACACGCAGTCCGGGAGGCTCTCGTCGGCCGGCAGCTCCACCACCTGCAGCCCCAGCTTGCTGCCCAGCACGCCCACGTACTGCTGGTGCTGCCGCTCGGCGCGGGCGAAATCCACCTCGTCGCCCTTGGCGCGCCTCAGCGCGTGCTGGCTCAGGGACTCGGGCAGCGCCCGCACCACGGCGTGCGTGACCCGGCCGAAGGCGGCAGGGTGGCCGAGGCTAGCCATGGCTCCGGGGCTGCCGCGGGGGGGTCCGGGCGCGAGCGGCGGCGGCGGCGGCGGCGGCGGCGGCGCGGCGGCTGGGTCTTCCCGCGAACAGCGCGCGCCGAGCCTAGAGCGCCCGGCTGCTGCTCTTGGCAGAGGATGAATGTGGTGCAGGAGCAGCAGCCCGGCTCGCGCCCGGAGCCGGAGCCCTGCCCGCGCGACTGAGCATGCCCAGAGCTCCGGGCGCCGGCCCGTGCGCCCACTCCGGCGCTCCGGGGTTTTGCGGCCACCGGGGCAGGAGTTGTCATCGCGAGCGCTTTAGAAGTAGAGGGACCCCCCCCCCGAATACGCGCGGGTGGGGCACCTTAACAATCAAACCACCCCTACCCTGACCTAGCGCTATCCGTGCTCTGTCCGCACCAGGTGCACACCGCCCATCGACCCTCCCCACCCCTCCAGCCCCTCGCCGCGGACTTGCTGCGTGGCCTGTGCCCTACCCTGGACTGTTAGGGCTCGGGAATGATTCATTCGTGGGCCCATAGTTGGACCTCTTTCCCCACTCTTATTCCCTGGGTTCCTAGGTGAGAATCTGCTTTCATCGACATCCTTTTAACTGTCTCCAAAATTGACCTTTGCTCTATGTGAGATAAAGTCTTTCTGTGCACAAGAAGAGTCCGAGAAACAGGACTATAAGAATATTAACTCTGGCGGGTCGCCAGTGGCTCACGCCTGTAATCCTAGCTACTCAGGAGGCTGAGATCTGAGGACCACGGTTCGAAGCCAGCCAGAGCAAGAAAGTCCATGAGACTCTTATCTCCAATATACACTAGAAAACCAGAAGTGCTGCAGTGGCTCAAGTGGTAGAGCGCTAGCCTTGAGCTGAAGAACTGAGGGACAGTGCCCAGGCCCAGAGTTCAAGACCCACGACCAACCAAAAAAAAAAAAATTCTAGAAATGAGCAGGATTTGTTGTTGTTGTTGTTGTTGTTTGTCTGTTTCTTCCAAAACAGTCAATTCTATAGGATTAGGCCACGTTTGTCTCCAGGGCCTGCAATGGAACTAGCCTGTGGTGCCCAAGTTATCAGAGTTCTAGAAGAAAAACAACACCTTCAAGAATCCCAACATAAAAGCTCCACTGCCTCAAACTGTGATCTGGTGATCTTTATCTGAGGATTTATCTCCAAGGTCCTTGGGATAAGAATGCCCTTGGTAGCTTTAGAATGGCCTTGTTGGTGATCATTTGGGTAAATGCCCAGGTGTGGATTTGCTGGGTCATAGAGAAGCTCCATGGTTAGTCTTTTAAGGAACCTCCATACTGCTTTCCAGAGTGGCTGAACAAGTTGACATTCCCACCAACAGTGTAGTAGTATTCCCCTTTGGCTACATCCCTGTCAGCATCTGTTATTACTAGTTTTTTTTGATAGCTAAGGTATGAAATCAACCCAGTTGCCCTTCAATAGATCAAGAAACACACACACACACACACACACACACACACAATGGAATTCTATGCTTCCATCAGAAAGAATGACACCACCCCATTCATAAGGAAATGGAAAGACTTGGAAAATATTATATTAAGGAAAGTAAGCCAGGCCCAAAGAAACATAGGCTGCATGATTTCCCTCATTTGTAATAACTAGAATATGTCAGGATATCTTAGCAGAGGATCACAAAGGCTCAATTGTGTCATGGATATGACCATATAAAATGATGCTTATCGAAATGAACTCCAAAAAAATGGAAGCAAGAGTTTTTTTAATTGTACTATTTGCAGTTATATCTTTTTTTCTTTTCCTTTGATTTATTCCCTGTCATCACTGCTTTTGATTTCTGTACCTCTAGTTTTATATATAATCTTATCTAATTTAGGGAAGGATAATGACAGAAACGGTGGGACAAAGGGTGAACCAATGCACCCGTGATACTCACTGGACATTGTGTTGGAAATGAACTTTTGTGGAGAAGCAAGGGAGTGGGGAGGGGCTAACACGTTCAAAAAGAAATGTACTCTACCTTACTTATGTAACTGTAACTCTTTTGTACTTGACCTTTACAATAAATTTTAAAAATTAAAAAAGAAAGAAAGAAAGCCATTTGGAGAGAAGTGTATCAGCTCTTAGTCCTAAGATGCATCAGACCTGTTGTTTCTGGAATCCAAGGTGCAAAAGATAATAATAGGGCAGAGCAGATACAAACAAGATGCAAGCAGAAGTGTGGGATTTTCATCTCAGGTTTTAGTTGCCCAATGGACATTTGCAAGCCCAAGTGGAGAGTCGATGTTTTTAGCAAAAGCAATTTCTAAGTACCTGGTATATCCACTATAGATGTGTGTTCACCTCACACAGTATCAAGTATAGCTTCTGTCCTTGGGAAATAGTATCAACAACTTTCCCCACGACTCTCCCCTCCCATAAGTATATAGACTTCTGGAATTTCTGTTGAGCATCTGTTTTTCTTTACCTTTCTGGGACTGTCCTTTACCTTTCTGGGACTGTCCTAGGTTCCACAGTGATATGAAAACTCATTTTGTAGTATAAATAATCTGAGGGGCAGGGGAGGGACTGTCCTGGGGCTTGACAGTGCCTAGGCACTGTCCTTGAGCTTTTTTGCTTAAGGCTATTGCTCTACTATTTAAGCTGTAACATCACTTCTGGCTTTTTGTTGGTTAATTGAAGATAAGGGTCTCAAGGGCCTCCCTGCCTATGCTGGCTTTGAACTTTGATCCTCAGATCTCAACCAACTGAGTAGCTATAATCACCTGCATTGGAACTGGTGCCCATTGCTTTTTCTTTTCTTTTTTAAGAGGGAATAATCTTCAAAGTATGCACTCCAAAAATAAGCTAAGGATACCCTTCTCCCTTCACAATCTGGACCATACTACAATCTTAAAGATTATTGAGATGATAGAAGATTAGATTTTATGAGATCTTAGAACCCCCTTCATTTGTCTTATCCCCAATGTTCTTGAATTCCAGATGAAACATGCATGGTAGTTATCAACTCATGAACATTTTTTATTGTATTTTATTCATTCATTCATTTAGTCAGTCATAGGGCCTGAACTCTGGGCCTGGGCACTGTCCCTCAGCTCTTCAACTCAAGGCTAGCATTCTACCACTTGAGCCATAGTGCCACTTCCAGCTTTTTCTGCTTATGTGGTGCTGAGGAATTGAACCCAGGGCCTCATTCATGCAAGGCAAGCCCCAACTCATGAACATTTTAAACCTTGTTTACTCATAGTCTATTCTATTTTTGAAGAGCTAAATGGGTTAAACAATTTCTTCACCTTGAGTTTAAATCCTACTGGTCCCAGACCTGCCTTTCTGGCTTTCCTAAATACCAACTACATTCTTTCACAAAATGGCATTTATATATCCAACACTTTCTAATATTAAGTCTGCCTGACACTATCTCTCACCTTCCATCTTAACTCCCTCCTGACTTGGAGTCTGAACCACTGGAAAGCAACTAGCTATTTGGTTTCCAAGTCTGTTTAACATTCTGGTAATCCTCCTTTTGATACACACAAATATGCCTGTATCCTTTTAAAATCATGGTATCTAGAAAAGAAACAATTCTTCCTGTGTAGCACAGATGACAACAGTGACCTTGTTCCAGATGTTAGGCTTCTATTGAACTGCTAAGATAACTATATTCACTTTCTCAGGGGTCTAGCACCAAGGCCTGGGTTACAGCCTTCTTGCCAGAACTGTGATCCTAGATTTTAGGAAGTGTGAATTTCTATCCTGGAATGATTGTCCCAGCTGAGCCCAGAGAAGATGAGATGTAGCTTCCTTCCTCTCCCCACTGGTTGACTTGAATTTCCAAATGATAGTATATCTCAGCTTCTGAAATAAGGAGACCTAAGTGGATGACAGCTCTGACTCTGACACTGGAGAGTGAGACCAAAACTAAAATAAGGAAGGAAATCCTTCTAGGTTCTTCTTCTAAAACAAAACTCACAGAAGCCCCTGCCTGCCCTGTTAGTACCAGTTTATGACCAGAAATCACTCCATTGTGTCCTCAGATGTAGGATTCCTATCAGTGTTTCAAAGGCAAAAACTGCCCAGTTGTTTAGCTGGCCCAAGTTAGGACTTTGTTTTCCCTTTACTGTGGATTTCACTGGACATTGCGGCTTCGTTTTAACTTCCATTTAGCCACTACCTAGTAACCTTCATTTATACTATTGCTTCCTTGGAGTCTGAACATTTTGCCTGCCACCCCATGCCTTCTGCCTATGAGCAGAGCCCTGTAAACCACTCTGGGCTGTTGTCAGCCTAACGACCAACTAAAACCTGAAAATCTCCTCCTATAAATTGATGTTAGTTAGATCTTTCCATACTGAAATTGGATAGCTGTTTTTTAAAGAAATCTAATTTTATAGTTATCCCTCTTTAATGTTAGCTGCTCTTTTCCAGCATGTCTCGTTTTGATTCTGTCATCTTGTGCATTATTTATTACTTCTAGTCTGTGCCATCTGAAATTTGATAAGCATGCATCTGTCTCCTTTAAGCAGTTGTCAAGAAGTGTTAGAATCTGTATTTTGTTGAAAAAAATAATAAAAACAGCAAGTCCAGTAAATTATAGTTTACATGCCTTCATATGTCAGCTTTGAAGTCTTTTCTTAGGAAAATAGAATTTATTGAACTTAATACTTTTTAAAGTTCACTTTGCCCAGGAATTGTTACTGAAAATTCTCACAGCACACTAGTCAGAGAACAAGCAAGAAAACATAATCCTTGACCTTGAAGAGCTCACAAACTCACCCAGGGGCAGGGGAGGGAAGGCTTGCAGAATTGAAGCTAAAATATGTGCACAACAAAGGTCTAGATAACAAAATGCTACAGGGATCTGAGGAAAAAAAGCTTTCACTAAACTGATGGGAGTGGAAGAAAGCTTCTTGAAGGCAAATGGACTTGATTTAGGCCTTGAATAATTTTTAGAGTGTGAGTAATTGATAGTAAGAATGAGAATTCTAAGGAAAAAGTTGTGCAAAATCCAGAAGTATACCCAAGGAACCATGATTAGAGTCAGTATAT